TCTGCCCCATGCCTTCTGTGCAAGTGCCAAGCTATTTCTCCTTGCGCTGTCGTGCTGGGTGAGAAGAAAGGGAGACTAAAAAAGCCCAGGCTGGTTTATTTTTTGTTACAGAGCAGTCATGGCCACAGGTGTAACTGAACAGATAAGCAGTGGCATGGGCTTACGGTGAGCAATTGTGCAATAGCCTTGGCATACGAACACAAAGTCACCTCCTCCGTCGCCTTTAGAGTTACCTGCCAGCATCCCTCCAAGGCACGGCTCTAAACTGGCTTCTCCCGTTCTTTTTAATACACTGTTAATTAATGAAGCAGAGGCAAAAATACACACAAACGCAATGGAATAGTTTTTAACCTGGCTTGATTAATGCTGTCAAGTTGTACATCTGAGTGTGAGCTCAGTGGGACTGTTGCTTTTGTTTAATACCACAAGACACCTCAGTCTGGATTGTTGCATTACAGTACAAATAAAAAACAGAAACAAAACCACATCTGCATCATACAAGGTGAGAAGAATATGAGAATTCTAAATATTTACAGAGAAGGGCAAGTGGGGAAACCACAAAAAATATTTACATAAAAATACATGAGCTTGTCGGCATATACATTTTACACCAGTTCACAAAAAAAAGACACTATATAAATTAAAGTGAAGGGAACTCCAAAGGTAACCCAAGATTTTCTGGGATGTTTCTCATGCGGCTCAGGGAAAGAAAAATCAAGTCTTTTACAGCAGGAAAATGAACTGCAAAACAACCCTTTTCTCCCCACACCCTCCCCCCAACTGGACGAGGCAAGACTCTGCACACGAAGGTATTCTGGTGTATGTTTGTTTAAGCCAGACCATGCCTTTCAACATCGGGTTTCTGTAGCACGAGGCTCTGGGAAAAGAGTTGCATGCCTAAGCCGCCTTTTAACGAAAGTAAGTAAAACAATTTCTCATCCAGATTTCCTAACACGTAACACGTCGCTTCAGTCAATGCCCTGGCAATGGCAGAGTACACGTGAGGTTCTGTCCCTTTCTGGGGTTAAAGAGGAACAGTAGGTTTTCAAGTTGGTTTTGGTTTTGTGTAGCAACTTACTACCGCTGTGCAATCCTTACTGACCCCCCCTTCAAATGATGAGCGGAAAACGAGGATCTCTGGAAAGACATAGGCACAAAGTTGTGGGTGTGTTGTCAGGTATGCATATAGATTTCACCTGATAAGACTCTCTAAAAATCAGAAATTAATGCTTTACTTAAGACTTCATAGGGGCTAGGTCCTCCTTACTCGCCTAACATCTGCACTCTCCCTTCGCCAAGGAAGGTCTCCTACGGGTCGCACGTTCCACTTCAAAGCAGAGGGTGGAGTACGCTGCCGGACCCCAACTCGTGCGTGCACTAGGGAGAAACCTGGCAGGGAGTAGCAATTTAAGATGCCGATAGCTTGTGGCAACTATAAGGGAATTATTTAAGAACATAGCTGCTTGTCATCTTTCTGGAGATAAGGTTAGGCAATAAATTACTTCATCTGAGCAGAACTGGACTTGCAAAAGAGCATTGTTTGTGTTGCCGTCCCCTCGCTCTCTCCCGTTCCTCTGCTAGAACGCTAAGAATTGAACTTCCAACTTACCTCCAGATCACCCGCCTTACTTAGACACCCGGCGTAACCTCCCCTCCTCGCTCTGATGCACGACACCCTTTTGAATCTCGGCTATGATTTTTGCAAAGATATAGGTGGATGTTTTGACTTTATAGTGAATCAATTAATGAGGATGTAAAACTTCTAAGGACCATCAGATTAACCACAGTGCAAGAGCAGAACTGCATAGTTCACGATATGGCTTTGCGTGGGGTGGATGCGGGGATGACTGCTGAATCGTACTAGATGTTTAAGCCATGGGCAGTAGCAACGCCAAAAGAAAGGTGCTCCTCTGTATTATTGTCTGGGAATAATCTGTATTAAGCTGATGCCTTAACCTCGCATTTTTGTTTATTGGGGTTTTCTTTTGTGTACCTGTGGCTCAACACTGGCGTACAGAAGTTAGTTTACGTTCTCTGAGAGCTTCCAGCCCGTGAAGTACAGGCTGGCGTGGCTGTGTGCAGAGGGATGGGAGGACGCCGGGTACTAAGTTTTCTGCTGTGTGTCTTTTTTTTTAATGGAGACCTTGTTCTCGAGGGGAAGGCTGTTTGTAGCAGCCATCCAGGTGTATGGGCGTGCACTGCTAGAAGCTCTTTTTGAAAGGCGCTGAAAGCTTTTGTTTCCCAGGGGATGCGAGGGTGCTTAGCACCTGGCACTTCATACAATGCAGCGAGCTGAAGAGCCCAGGCTCAGGCAGTAGAAGCACAAGACCATAAGGAACAGAAGTTGTCCAGGGATGGCACTTGATCTCTAGGGGGAGACGGTGGCTTTGAGCAGGAAAATCCAGAGAGGCATTCACAATTAGCAGGAGCTGGGTTCAGCCCCCTCATAGTAGGATAGTCCTGGTTAACGTAAGGCCCAAACGGAGGTTAGGAGAGTTGCGGCAGGGGGCAGGAGTGGGGAGTTAAGGCTTTCATGGAGAGAGAGAGAGGAGGTTTGACCTACAGCTCTCGTTACCTGAATCCCAAATAGCCTGAACCAAACACATTTGTCCCTGCTTCAACTGGAGACCTCGGCAGGTAACTGGCAGCTGTGGGGAGACTGTGCTACGAGGGTTAGGACCGGTACTAGTCCTAACAATACACGCCTCTACTGAGAGAGCATGTACTTAAACTGGACTCCCTTGGCGAGCTTGCGCCGAGGAATCTGGACAGGTCAGCTTTTCCTAGGGAGTCAGCTAGCAATGGAGACAGGGTGGCCCACAACGTGGCTCACCTAATGGCCCCTTTCTATGGATTTCTGTTAATTTTCTTAAAAGAAAACTTTACAAAAAGCATTCCCTCACAAAAAAACCCAACCCCTCTACCTGGTCATTACTCACAAAGAGATTGCAGTAACCTGGATCACAGTGCTGCTTTCTTTTTTCGCTCTCCTTTTTTTTTTTTTTTTTTTTCTTTTTTCTTTTTCCTGGCTGCCAGATTTATTTCCGTAACATGTAAGGACAATTCTTCTAAACAAAACGCTTAAAACAAGAGCATTGCACAATAAAACAGGACCATAAGGTAGTGTTACTGAAACAGCCCCAGACAAGGCTACAAGATTAAAAGAAGCAAACAGCTAAAGACTAGTTGGCTACTAGAAGCAGGTTTTCCTTATGATTTTAAAGCCTCAAAACAGCCATGAAATTTTTCTTTGTTCAAAAAACTATCTAAGTTCCCGTTAACTTTCACAGCTGTGTGCTAACTGCAGGACCTCCAGGTTTTTAATAAAACATTAGAGATTCAAAACAGGTAGAGAAGTTCTTCAACCACACAGAACAGGAATGGCCTTGGAATTTATCAGTGAACATTTAAAAACTCCTAAATCTCAAGTATTGCTTGCAAGCCCTGTCTAATGAAATGGATGTGCTTTATTTATAAGGTGGGGTTGTAGTGAGTCCTGGGAAGCCGGAGAGGCTGCACAGGAGATGCTGCCTGGCTTATTTTATGATACAGAAAGCTTTTAAATCCGTAGGACAAAGTTATTAGTGTGTTTATAGAGTGCACTGGCCTTCTGTCCCTACTGCTAACTGAATACTGGTACGAGCCACGCTTGTGATATGGGAGGCAATGCTATTTCACAGCGCACAGACAGCACGTAACTACTCTGTATGTGCCACAACTTCACAGGGATCCCCTTGCCAACACAGAGCGTAAAGGCTACAGAAAGCCGGGTCCTGTAGACCTTCAGTTTAAGGTCAATCGGAGCATTCCCTGATCTAAGAGCTGCAGGATCTGGCCCAGGGCAAATAGCTGGTCATGCAGATAACGGCACCTACACAGTCATTCCCAGCTGGTAAGCTGGGCTCCATTTTACAAGCTGGACATAATGCTACAGATTTTTTTATTTTTATAGTGTTTTTTTTGGTAGAGAGATGATACTGTCTGGCCAGCCACAACATGGTATTAAATCGTCTGGACTGTAGATAGCCTAGCAGTAAAGAGGAATTAGCATGAAATGGGTGTGCTGTTCCCAACTGTGTGTGTATGGTTTGGTGTATTCCTGTGTTTTGTTTTGTGTTTGGGTTTTTTTTTTTTTTTTTTTTTTTTTTTCTCTTTTCTTTTGGTATGAGAAATGCAAACCTGCCCTACTTGGCTTCCATAGCTGGCCTCTGCTTATGACAGTGAAATTTAAAGTAATTTGATTTCTTGTAGTCAGAAGGAGCTTGTTAAGCAAGCAATTGAAAAAGTGCGTTGTATTTTGAACTTGCTTCAGAGCCTATTCCGCAGGCTTGAAGTCAAAACAGGCTCCCACCTGCTTGAAAGCAACTGAAGTGGATCCACTAGGCCTAAGTAATAATTTTAAAGGGAGAGGCAGGACCTCGGCATTTATCAAGAAGAAAATACTTAGGAAGTCTTTCCCCCCTGCCCAGCTTTTAGCCCACCGTTGCTGCGTAACCTCGGAGGGGGCAGAACAGCGGTTCTTCCAAGGCATGCCGTGGAGACCCTTTCTTGGAAGCTAGCAGTGGGATGGGCAACTTGCTACACACGGGGCTCGCAGGGAAAACAGCTGCATGCACGGTCCATCATGCACGGGACCATGGAGGCGCGGTGAGGAAGCGGTAGTAACTGCCAATGTCAAATCTGGGGAAGGAAAAACTTTTCCTTCCCGCCCCTTGCCCCAACAGCATCTCTTTTGGCTCTGCCCGGCCTCTCTGGCAACATCTGTGTGCCAACAGCCTGCCCTCTCATTCCAGTTGTCTCAAAACTACACGAAAAAGCTCTATCTCTACTACATAAAAACAGTGAGTGGTGGGCTGGTAGGGGTGGGGCTGAAGGTGGGTTTGCTTTGCTCATCGGGGCAGGGTTGTTTTTTTTTTTTTTTTCCGTCACTGAAAAAATAAAACAGTCCGCTGTCCAGCAGAGGCTGCTTAGACTCTATCCCTCCTTCCCCCCACACCAGCTCACTCAACGTGGACCTCTGTTTCAGGCCTCTGCAAACACAGCTCCGTCGGGAGGAAGGCTCCCTGGCCAAGGGCCGTGGCATAAGTTCTACTGTGCACATGGGTAAAACTGGGGGGCGCGAACCCCCCTCCTCCAACATAGCCCCCTCTTTGGTGCTGAGGCATGGTATGGTAATCCTCCAAATTATCATACTGGGACACCACAGTCATCGTGCTTTGGCGTTTCCCAAGGGTTTGGTATGGGTAGAGGAGGGCAGAGTCCCTCTCCATCGTTTCGGGGTGCTGCATTCTGAGGCTGTGGCTCCGTTCGGGCTTGGGCGGCGGTGCCATGGGAGAGGCGGCGTGCTCCTCTTCTTTATAGCAGTCTCTGGAGTGTTTCTCCATGGGTGCAGTCGGCCTGGCTCGAGACCTCTCCAAATCCGGCCTGTCCTCAGCCAGCCTCACCTCCTTGTGGTTCAGTCTCAGGGTCTCCTGGTTTGCCGGGATGTACTTCCCACCCGAGTGCTGGTAACCGATGGGCTCAGAGGGCTCTGGGCCACCTTTGGGCCTGTAGTCGGGATAAGGGGGCCCGTTTTTGGATTCGGAAGGCTGCCTATGGCTTGCCTCCTGCTGCAAGTGCGTCCTGTGTTCGTTCGTGTTGCAGCCCGGCTCGTGCAGCTTCCTATTCCGGACGCTGCTCTGCTTCTGGGGCAGGGACGGCTTCTCCGACTGCCCGTTCCCGTAGGCCCCGTGGTAGTGGGCTCTGTCCAGCTCTGGCTCAGGGTGCTGCATGTAGTAACGCTCGTCCCCATCGGGCGTAGCTGCTTTGGCCGGGTACCTCCCCTCCTTCCCTTCTGCCACAGTGAGGAGGCCAGTTTTCCCAGGATCCGATTTGCTGCGCAAGTGAATCACGTCCAGTCCTCCCAGTTCCTCCTGCAGCAGTGGGGCCACGTTATCGTACTGGGACATCACTGGCCCTTTCACTTTCTGGCGTGTGCGGCTCTCCCGGCGAATAGACTGCATGCGGTACTTCTCCATGTCCTCGAGGTCCCATGACATGTACGTGTGCTTGATGTCCGGGGCAGGAGGCACGTCTCTGCTGATGAAGCTGTGCTCTTTGCCTGCCAGGTGGCTGATGAGGCCACCCCGAGGGTAGGCAGACAAGCTGGGATAGCGGTACAGGCCTTTGCTTGGCAGCCGGGAGGCGTACGATGCAAAGTCTCGGCTGGGCAGGGGGTGGAAAGGCCTGACCCGCACAGTGCTGTAGGGGTCCAGGTCGTAAAAGCTCCCATCAGCAGTGGTGTAGTAAGAGGAGCCGGAAGAGCTGGAGTAAGGGCTGTACCGGTAATGTACCCGCCCGTTCTCAAAGTAAGGCTGCAGCTGAGTGACGTGGTAGTCGGAGTGGGGCTGATATGGCTTGTACTGATAGAGGGGCCGCGGGCAGTACACTGGCTCGTCATCCGGCGGCACCTCGGTCCGTGAAATGGGAACGGAGCGGATAGCAGAGGCGGCAGGGGTGGGGACGTGCAGCGACTGAACCCTGCGGATAGTGGGGTAGGGTGGAGCATCCTCGGCATAGCTGGCGTTACGCAGGCCCGTCGGGCTCACGGAGGACACAAACTCTGTCCGGCTGCGAGGCTTGGAGTGCAGAGCTGAGGTGCTCTTCCCCTGGTTTGTGTAGGTGTTGTAGCGAGTGCTCGCAGAAGTGGGCGTCTCTGACCGAGGAGGGTAGGCTTGGTGCTGCTCAGGCTTGCTGTGGTACGAGACGTGAGGGGGAACGCTCTCGGGCCTGTACTGATGGATGGAAGGCGGCTTGTGGTGCAGGTAGTTGTCTGGCCCAGAGGGCTCGGGGATGCTCTCTGGCTTGGGGTGCGGCACGTACACGGACTGCAGGGAAGCGTGCTTGGGTGGCGGGGGTGGCGGTGGTGGCAGCAGGGCCTCCTCCACAGAGGAGGCCAGCATGGAGGAAGACAGGAAGGCGTGATAATTGGAGTTGTTGATGGCATCTGCGTTGTTGGAGTGCATGGCGGCAGCAATTTTGCTCTCCAGCGTTCTCACAGGCGGGACAGGGGGTGTAAAGCTGTAGGAGGAGTGAGTAGGGACGGACTCGGACCGCAGGTGCAGCGGGGGAGCCCTCGTAGTCTCCCGAGGCTTTTCCAAATGGCTCTGGTGGCCCGTGGGCACAGAAGAAGAGCAGCGGGTGGTGGTACTGCTTTCTGGGACGAAAACAGGAGCAGGCTCAGGTGGCTTTTCAGGGGCAGTTGCGCCCCATACCTACAGGGAAGAAACCAGAAGAAGTTAGAGGCAAGCACCTCCCCCCCCCCCAATCTGTAGTTAAAATATCACACATGCTTGTATGGATTAGTTCAATGTATGTTTTTTTCTGTGCCTGGCTTCTGTTTGCTGTGGAGAGCTAGTGCTGCTCGCTGTAGAAGATGCGTAGGTTCCCTTTCGCAGCAAGGGCAGCGTGGTGCCTCTGGGAGATTTCAAAAGGGAGCCGAGGGGCTTGCGAGGGCTCTCTCTGCAAACATCAGACTGGAGAAAGGGGAGGAGGTGGCTGTCTCTTTATAGCAACAGGTTTTATGCAGTGGCCCACAGTGTTTTGTTAGGTGGCCTGCTTTTAAATGTACTTGTCTTAATGAAGATGTACCTGGATTTAAACTCGCGCCCTGCTGAGCAGATCAAGTGGTGTAATACAGCAGAAATGCCTTCCTTAACCGTGGCTGCAGTGCTTAAGATGGGCTGCAAGCGTGCATGTTTCATGGGCAGCGGGTAGTTTGGATTTCTGAGTGAACACTTCTATGTCTAACTCCCACTGGGAATCTGACCCGCTTTATTAAAGAGGGTCTTGTGAACAGAGGATGTAAAAATTCTTACTTGTTCCTGCGCACTTCTAGACTAGGGTTCCCTGTACCAGTCACCCCAGCAGATACTTTTCTCCTTAAAACCAAGGAGAGCAGGTCTATCGGGATGTTCCCTTGCGTTCCGTTAGGAAATTCTGCGCTGCTTTCCCGTAAGGCTGTGTTGTACGTGCATGATTTCCAGTAACCTGTGAATCCCCCGCCTCTTGCCATTTGGATTTGGACCGACTCTCCCGGAGCTCAGCCTCCTACAATTACAGATTAGCTGTCCCCGGACGCTGCGCTCGCAAATACGTGCGAGGCTGGGGGGCCACATCCACGTACCTGACTGGAACTACTCGATGCTTTTGCCGAGGCCGCTGGCACTTGTCCCATTGCTGACTGGTGATCTTGCCTCTGCGACGGGGCGGGCTGGCTGGTTGCGAGTGTGCGCTGCGCAGCCGTAACGGTGACGTCTGCCTGAGCGGCGGCTGGACCGGCTGGCCCGCGGTTAGGCTCAGTTGCTGCTGTTGTCTGGATGGTTGTTAAATATGGCATTGAAGCCGGGGTGCTTTTCTCCCCGGCGGTTACGACTGGAGGAGACTGAAGTTTGTCATCAGCCGTGGCGATAGGAACGTGGTGCTTGTCCCCAGACACGCATGCACGGAGGTGGGGCTTATCTACAGGCAAGTCTGTTGGGGGTGGCTCCCAGTCAGGCAGTGCACCTGGAGTATGGTGGTGGGTGTGCTCCCAGTCCCCAGCGTGGGAGGGGAAGGGATCTTTGTCCCCCGGTTTCCCAGGATGGAAGCTGGACTGCTCCTGCTCTGCATCTCTGCTACCAGGCATGTCCCCAGGCATGCCAGGGTGGAGTGGTGGGGGGTCCCGGTTTCCAGGTGCACCTGGCGGGTGGTTCTGCTCCCCGGGTGTGCTGCTACCTTGGAAATCCTGCTCTACGGGTGCACCAGTCTGGAAGTGAAGTCGGTTCTCAGGCAGACCAGTATACAGGTGGAGCTTGTCTGGAGCACCAGCAGAGAGATGGAGCTTTTCTAGAGCTGTGCCAGCTTCAGTCTCTCCGTAATTTGTGCTTTCAGAATGAGCATCTCCTGGCCTTTTCTGGGACTGAGCGGATGCTTGCTGTGCGGACTCGGCTAACGCTAGGGCTAGCATGCGCGCTGCATTTTTCGGAGGAGGAGGAGGGATAAGAGACACAGAACTGACGGGAACAGGATCCTGGGGGGAGTCGAGGGCAACTGCTCCTAATGGGGGGAAAATTGAGAGAGAGAGTGATTTTATGTTACCCAATAAGGAGAGTGACCTAACCTTAATGACTATTATAAAAAAATAGATGCTCTCCACACTTTCACAGTGGCAATTCCTTCTGACGTGAAACGCTATCTCTTCTGTCTCACATGCAAACGCTGCTCGATAGCACAGCAGTTCATCACAAAAAGGAAAAAACACAAGAGATTGTCTCCTCTTGAGAAGAGAAAGGCTCCTCTTGCATTTCTAGAGAGGTAGGAAGGAGGTAGCAGAGAATGAGATACCCTTACACAATTTTGATCATAAGGTTTTAGGCGAAAAGGTCCCTTCTTCGAGTGTTGGCAGGTTTTTAAAATTAAAAAAAAAAAAAAGTCTCAGGTGGTCTATTGGCTGAAATGATTTAGAAGGACATGCTAAATAGATTTTCACATATGACAGGATGGGAAAAAAAAAAAGTGGTGTACAAAGTATTATGGAAAATTTATCTGAGATTTGTGTGATGTAGGGAGAAGGCAGAGGTTAAGACCTTACTGATCTGCACAGCCCTGCGAGACACTTGTGATCAGAACTGACGGGCAATCCCCTCTCCTAAAAGGCACGCAGAGGAGGACGGTTTTGAGAGCAGGTCCCCTTTGGAACTTAAAGAAAGAATGGAGGAAAAAGCACTGTACCTGGCTGTGTGTGTCCAGTGGGTACAGTCTTATTCTGACTGCTTGACATTGGTCTCTCCCCTTCTTCTGGCAACTCTGGTTTGCCAGCAGCCACTAGCTGGGCATGCTGTAGCTCTTGGTGGGCTCCTTCCCCTGCTCCTGTTTCACTGTTTTTCAGGGGCAAGGACATCTGGGTTGGGGACCTGTTTGTCATATCAGTGATGCCAATCCCTTTGCTCCAGCTGGAAGTGGAGGAGTTTCTGGATGTGATGGGCGCTCCTCCAATCACTTCTGACATGCGGCTGGGCAGGGCGAAGGAGACGGGTTCTGATGTAGTCAGCGGCGGAGACTTGATGGGCTTTTGCCCCATCTTGGGTGAGAAGGCATGGGGCTTGCAGGCCTTCTCTTCGGTTGGGCTCAGGTCCAGAGTAAAGAAAGGACTCATCTTCTCTTGGAAAGGGGAGACTGGCTCAGAGCTCGTGGCACTGCCTGGTGTCTGGGACTGGCTGCCTGATTCTAAGTCCTTCTTTAGTAGGCTTGGCTTTTCCTTATTTATGCCAACTGACTCCATCAGGGAGGTACTGCTGTCCAGGCACTCGGACTCTGCTTGGGGCGGGCTGCACTGAAAAGACATTGGGTCAAAATCCAGGCTAGCGACTCCGATATCAGGTGGGCTCAGGTCAACGTCTTCAGCAGATCGAGGAGAAATCAGGGCAGGAACGTGGATGAGCCCCTCGTCCCCATCACTGTCGTTGTCGTGGGGAAGGTTGTCGTAAGAGTTGCAGCGATTCACGTTTCCTAAGAGCTCTCCGTTGAAGGAAGCAGACAATGCGTCGCTACTGGACCTAGGTCTTCTGGGTCGGAACAGTTTAGATTCACCTAGGAACGAGTAGAAACGTACGGATTAGCGTCAAAATCTTACTGTCCAGGAGGTGATGGTTCGGTGTTGTTTTTAAAGTAGTCTTACGGCGGTGTGCAAGATGCTCACCTGGTGAACTCCAAACACAAAAGTCATGTAGTCAGCAGTAGCTGTCAATTGTGTTTGCTCGAACTCTTTTACAGGAGTTGTCAGCTCCGATCTAGTCTGAAACTAAGCTATGTGCAAAAACAAAACTAGTTTGAGTGTGCTGTAGACCTAAGGCTTTCTCAGAAAGCATTTTCCTTCCCGATGCCGTTTTTTCCACCTTAGAATAGAAAGGGGAGATGGCAAGGAATGAATGTAATGAATGCATGAATGTAAGGGGTGCTGGCTACGTGAAAGCAAGAAGTTTGCTTTTTTTACCTTAGAAGGAAAACAAAGACCTGAAGAGCATTTCTCTGTGATACCCGTGCGTGTTGGCAGCGGTAAGCTGCTTCATTAATTAGCAAGTCCAGCTTTTACTGGAGGGGCAGAAAACCTTTTCAATCCGCACACATTAAAAGGTGTAGGTACAATTTGGTCTTACCATCAACAGCATGCAGAGAAGTAAGCGATTCTTCGCTTTTAGCTGAGCGAAGAGTCCCGCTGTCTCCTCGTCCACCTGAGGAAATGCAACCGAGACAGTGAGAAGGTGAATTATAAAAGTGATTTATATTTGGCTATGTAATGGTAGCAGGAAAAACACAAATGGGGTTCTAGCAACAGAACCACTGTCCTCAGAGTAGCAGTTGTGCTTTTTTGTTTTGGGGTTGGGTTTTCTTGGTTTTGTTTTTACTCCAAAGCCCTTAAAGAAAAACCTTTATCCTGTTCCACTGTTAATATGCTTTGCTGTCTCAGACAGATGTAGTCCTGTTTGGCACGGGAGACTTCCCTACGGAGGTCCCTTTCAACCCATGATTCTATACTACCGGGCAAGAGGCAAGTACAAGAGAGTGAATCAATTTTTGATACTCATTTTACAGACTGGGGAAAAGTAACCTACCAAAATGGTAACTGCTGCAGGTGACGGGTTGGGGAACAACTCCCCACATCACCCTGCTCTGGATGTACCTGTGATAATTGCCTGGCTCCTACCAGCAAACAAAAATCCTTAAAAATGGGGAAGACGGTAACGTTTACACAACTATGTGTAGTAAACAAGTGCGACTGCAGTGCTGCAAGGAGACGGTCTTATAAGGCGTCATAGAATGTGTTTATTGTACTGAAGACTATGAGGGTTACAAGTTGAAAGTGGCACCAGGAAGAAAATGGGATAGAAGTCCTCACTGGCCCAGGTTTAGGGATTTGTGGTGTGTTTTACTGCAAAAACATATTGTTGCTATTTCTAAATTTGGAAAGAGACGGTAAACTATACGTGGAGAGGGCTGAGAATTCAGAGTCTGTGTCCACTGGATGCAGCTACAGAAGGTTGTTGGATGCCTTCGCTAGTTACACTGGTATAGCTTTCGGGGTGAATGTGTTTGTGGAGAAGTGCCTTTACCTGGTTTAATTGTGTGTCTTTAGAGAGCAGCAGAGGGAGCCAGAACTGTATTCTTATTTCATAATAGCAGTGTCAGAAGGAATTATTCTGAGGCTATGTGTATATATATATATACACATACATATATAGCCTTTCAAAAGGGACTCTGAGAAAAGCGTTAGAGGTGTGTGCACTAGCAGGTTTGGCTCTTGAGCTAAAGGGAGATCCATTTAGGACAGACAGCAGTTAACTGAAGATGTTATGCATGGCTTGAACGCTAGAAGGAGATAGAAGCACACTGCAAACACAAAATTCTGCATTGCTGAAAACCCCAGGTTTTTGGAAGCTGGATTTGCACCCTTACCTGCCAGGGCTATGGCTTTCATTTCTGAGGGCTCGCTGGGATTGCGCTGCAGTTTGCGTTTGGACACGGATGATGATTTCCCCAGGTTGAAGAAGGAACGCCAGCTGCCAACTGGCGATTTCTTCATCTTGCTGGGCGGCCTTTTTCTGGAGTAAGAAAATAGAGCAAATTGTTGGAGGGGGAAGCTGCACTTAGTTCCCCGCTACTGGTGGTTCGTTATTAGCGCTCCCTGGCTTCTGCTGAAACAAAGCTTAGAAACTCGGTTTCTTTTAAATAGCCGAGGATGTTTTCATTTTTACAGCTCAGCGCTAAAGTCTTGCTGGGTGAATTGCACCAGACTACGCGAAGCGGGTGCACTGCAGGTGAGCAAAGGCTCCGTACGCGTACAGGACAGCAGCTAAGGGACGGCTTTTATTTAGCTGGCAGATGCACCAGTTGTCTGAGGAGCTGTGCAGCCATAAAAGGTATTCAGAAGCATCTCTCGCTCATGCTGTAAAATCACATTCGTCTCCTCCCACTGCCATATTTAATTTCCAGTGTCATCAAGTCTGTCCAACTGCTTCACTTTGAGGGGAACCTGGATTTGTTACAGGCAATTAGTCCTGAAATCTGGAAAACCCCAGTGTTTCCAGGTGTTTGCCCTGTTTACGTTTCTGTGCACATGGCTAATGCAGGCATCTATATGCATCACGTGCAACATGGCTTTAAACGTTTAATGATAACCCTGCTAAAAAGGAGGGAGTGGCACAGAAGTTGCATGGCTAAACTAAGGCCACGAGGCAACTGATGTAAGCTGAACCCTCACAGAGTCCAAAGCGGGCGGAAAACTGGCTACAATACTTTACATACGACTAGTGTTAAGTCAATATCAGCAAGTTTTTGCTGTAATCAAACAAAAAAACCCAGTTATGACACATGCTGGAAAGGAAACTTGTCTCTACCTTTCGGATGGAAAGTCTATGACCGTGTGGAATTTCCCTTGTAAAGCTGCAGGGCCTTCTCCCACTTCTATGTATTTGCTGTCTGCCACGATGGGGGAGTTGATCTGGGCTTGCGTCCGTGCCTGTGCCTCCTCCAGCGTGAGCAGCTTTGTGGAAGGAGAGGACACCAACAGAGACTTGGGCCGTGATAAAGAGCTGTGCCCTGTAAGGGAAAACCACAGGCAACAAGGAGAATCAGAAAACAGCAGTACAGAGATCAAAGCTCTGGGTCTGTGTGTCTAGGGAGGCGCTGTGTTTTTCTAAATCTTTGTTATCCCAGCCACTGAAAGATGTGGTCAAAATAACCATTTTGTCAGAGGTATGTTTATGACAAAAAAAGTTCTCATAACTGAGAGCAGCTTAGTGTATTTTTAAAAAAAAAAAAAAAAAAGGCAGAGGGAAGCAGGTAGGTTAGAAACCTTCACTGACACATTTCACTTAAGCTTCATCTGTATGCAAAAGGCTGTAAAGAAAGCGATGCTTTTTCTTCTTCTAAAGCCTGGCTTCAGCCATTCCCAGGCTCCTCCTCTCGGTGCAGCAGGAAAAGCCCTGCGTGACTGAAGTGGCTACAAACTAATGTGCAGATGGACACACTGAAGAGAATCTAGCTGTGGGTCTTGCCCTTGGCCTTTTTACAGCTCGGGCTTGTTTTTGGAGACGAACACGTACGTTTTTGTAAAAGTAGCTGATGTTGCCTCCTGCTGCTAGGATCTGCTAAGTCAGCTTGCAGTGTAGAGGAGACGGAGGAGCCTGGTGTAAGAGCAGCTGTCTCTTGTGTGCCATGGCTTATTGTGCAAGTATTATTTATACGGTTATTCTCGCATGACGTAAGGGGGGTGGGGGGAAGTACGTCATCCCTTTGCATCAACATCCTGGTTGGTTCCGTTCCTGCTACTATCCTTTTAGCATCGCAGCTCCTGTGTGAAGCGTGCACGCTCTCGCCTGTGTTTGTCAGCTGCACGTGCTATCCTGCGTGAAGTCTGGGTTCCAGCTGTCTTTGCAATAGCCTTACCTGCAATGGCTTAAAGCAGGCTTGGGAATGCCACCTTCGCCTCTTGCGGGCGGGTACAGGCAAGCAGCCGTGCTCAAAAAGAGGATGCTGCCTTGCTGTATGTAGCGCAGTATTCCTGCACGTAGCTGATACGCTGTGAAATAGCCCGACCCTTCTCCCCGCCAGTTTTGTGTCAAGGCACGCTGAATGCGAATGACCAAGTCATTAAACAATTAGCTGAATTTACATCGTCCATTCTAAGCCTGGATAATCATTTGGCTCGGATTCTTAGCGTGCTTATCTTCCCCTGGCAGAGCTCAGCCTGCTGTGGGCTATTACCGTTCAGCCAAGCTAACCTCTGGCTCCTAGTGACTGAGAATTGCCTTCCAGTAGGAACAAAAGCTGGACTTGGAGCGACTCTGCTATCCTAAGTAGAGGTAGGACCTGTTTAAAAGTGGGGAGCAGCAAATATACTGGAAAAACAGCTACCTGTACTCCACAGGTGACAGTGACTGCACTGACGGTGCACATTTCATAGGAAGGGCAGGTTACCAAAGCAGATGGTACACACTTAATGCTGCTTAGGAGTAATAATAGCTTGCGGTATGCTCGTTTGTTGATCTAACCTACAGCGTAAACTTTCTTCCTGGTGACTGAAGAGATTCCTTACAATGTCTCGGTGCTAGGACACAGAAGTAGTAGCCAAACATTAAGATGTGCACTTCTGTAGAGCATCCTTGGCTTCTAAGAACGGTACTGATAGCATGTTCTAAAACCAGGTGATAGCTAACAGCATAACCCTGGAAATCTGTCCTCTAGGTTATCGTAAAAAAAATATTTCAAATGTCTCGGATACCGATTAAGTGTCTGCTACCTTTTTAGATCCAGGTAAAGCTAGCGGAGGAAGACACGCACCTGCTCCATCTCGTATGACTGAGCTGAGTTTGGAACTGAAGAGGACGTCCACGTGGTTCAAGATGAATTCCACAACTACCGACTGGATCCGCACCTCCATGAAGGCAGCTGTTCCGCTGAAGCAGGCAGACTCTATCTGCTTAGATCTGAAGAAAAAGCAGATTAAATGAAACGTGAACAGCCAGAAGAACAGAGGAAGATGCGCTCCTTTCGGGTAAGGCATGTGGTGAGCTACTGTGCCTGGCTGCTCAAGCAGACAAGACTTTAGGGGCAGTTAGGAGATTAAATCTCAGCAAAGTATTACACAAATGATCATTCTGACTAGTGATTTATACCCGGGCTTTGGTTTCAGGTTTGAGTCTTACTGAAAGGGCAAGAGGAACACTGGTCCCGGACTCGAGGAATTACCGGATCGAGGTAAATGAACTGCACCCCCAAAGCGGGCAGCTGTTTGTTAACTTATTTCCAGATACTGTGAAGGGCAGCAGTTTAATGCAGTGGCACTGTACATCGGCCTTCTAATGCGGTTTTCCCTCTAGCAGGGAACGTCTCCAACCGATCCTGCTCAGCAAGCACCCCAATATTCACAAAGGCAAACTCAAACAAGAGATCATTTGACTGCTTGTGGGTGAATTGCCAGAAAGGAGAAAAGAGCTTACCCTCATTAACTGCACACAGGGGAATCTATGACTCGGGTTTCTCAGGTCGGTAACAAAAGCAGTCCAGAAATCAATACAATGGAGGCCAGGGAGATTTTTTTCTTTTAAAGCAAAATTTTTAAATTATACCATTAATTTTAAACTACCCTATTACACACTTTCAAAACAAATTTTAGGGAACAGATTTATCCAAGATCATTTCCATAAATTTGAATTTTTGCAGCCAAAAGCTGTTGAATTAGACTCTAGAGACTCATGCAAGGGGAAACCAGTGATGCCACTGAACAAATTTTCCTGGATGATCAAGGACACACTAGTCTCATCTAACCAGGAGGGGGGAAAAGAGGGTTGGGGGAACCCTTCCTTGCCACTACTGAATTGCAGTCAGGGGAATTGCGTTGCGGTGAGACAGGATAATATCGGGGTGTTCTCTCCGGGTGGTTCCGCTGACGGCAGCGGGGGGCTATTTTGCATCGCTGGTTCAGGAGCTTGCCAGCTGGTCTCAAGCCACTGCTTAGAATGACTTCCCATTAGGAATTTTACAGGAGGAGAAGAGCACATCGGATGGAAGAAAGGAAGATCTCTTTCTCAGCTGCTGAAAGTTATCATTTTCTGGAGAACAGGTACCTGTCTCTTTTTTTATAAATATAAAAACTTATCTTGTATTGAAATGGGGGAAAAAAAAAAGTGAGTACCTTAGGAGGTTTGGAGCCCAGACGATTGCTAAGTTCTTAGTGTGCATATTTGTGATGGAGCAGTAATCAGCTAGACGAGCTAAGTGTCTCATTAGGAACTCCAGTGTCCTGGAAAACAGGAGAGAGGCAAATGTTCAGCACCAACGAGCAAAGCCATGCTGCAACTTACTAAACAAACCCCGGTTCATGATTTTCTTTTGGTTTGACAGCTCACGGGGAAAAAAAAAAAAACCCAACATTGAACTATGTCCCCCAAGACTGATGGTAAAGCTGTCTTTAGCAAATAATTACACTGGGGTGGGGCAAGGGGAGTCTCTCTGATTTGTCCAGGCTCAATGAAAAGACGGCCAAAGCATCTGCTCTCAGTCCAAGGGCTGGATCCAGCAAACGCTGAGGCGGACGGGAATAATCTAAGTGCCACCAGCACAGCAGGATCTAGAAGCAGAGCGCCCTGGAAATCCATCGCTTGACTGCTTTACTGTAACACCGCAAGAGAAATACACCCTCTGCGCTGTCTGGGGTAGCACTGCAGTGCTCCTTAAATAGGGATGGGAAAGGACGTGGACTGTTAGTCTTGGTAAGGGGGGGAGTGTTTATGTAGACACCCCGATATTGAAAACCAGCACATTGTACCATGAGTTCTACTTATGAAATTACTGGCTACAGCTTTCTTCTAGGTATCTTACAGCAGACACAAGGGTAAACTTCAGAGGCTTCTGTTCACATTAAAAAAGAAAAAGTTTTTTGTATATTAAATGCTACCGCTAACACCCAGGAGGAGGAGGGAGCACAAGGTGGTAATGAAAATGCTGCTGTACCCTCCTCCGTGCTGCTGCCTGGCAGCAGCCCTGGCTTGTCTCTGTCTCACTGCGTACCCTTTTTTGGGGGGGGAGCGGACGGGGGGCTCAAAATTCTACAAATGGACAAGGCCTGAAGAGAAGACAGATGGACATCTCTGGCACCCTGCTCCAGCATGGAACTTCTCATCGCCGTGTAGCAGAAAAATAAAGTTTTTCCCTTCTTCAAGCTGCTCTCCTTGTCTCCATCGTTTTGCATCCATTTATACCCCCTCTCTGGTCTAAGACGCACACACGCATCACAACCTCAAGTTTGTGACCCCCATAAACTAAGGAGCCATTGCAGGGAAAAGGCGGAATGCACCAGAGAAAATTAGACAAAGGCAATGAGTTCATTTTTAAGAAGGTCCACTTCAAGGCCCTCCCCCCTTAATGAACAGCAATAAAATATTACAATTAGTTAATATAAATGACCAGCTATTACACGAATTAGTTATTTAAATACCGAGTAGCACATGTTTGTAGCTTATAACACATTAATTAACCATTACAATTAAAGACTAATCATGATATAGTAAGTTATTGACATTCAAATAATAGATAACTAGTTATATTTATACCACTCGTGTACAATTGCAATTGGCCAGCTTATCACCAGCCATTACAATAATTAATACTTTAAATATTTACTAACACTAATACCTATTAAGACAAACAGTTATCAAGATCTAAACCACTACTACCTTCATGCATTACAAATGGCCACTCAGGGTACAGAATCATAACGGGTTCTGCAAATTAACATACATCACAATAATAAACTGCTATGCCAATTGATGATTGTCATAAGCTGTTATAATTAGCTATCAGTAGCCAAATAGCCATCGGCATGCACTATAAATGGCCCTCTAACGCACGCAGGACACAGCCTCGCAACTGGTCCAGCTAATTACAATAGTTAGTTAGTTAGTAACTTTCAACATCCATTGCAATTAGCTGTTTATACCAGTTACAATACATAACTGATCGAGACCACTTACTATTAGTCATTAATACTATTTAAAGAATCATTAAGATATACAGTGTTATAATTAGTTATATATATTAGTTATAATTAGTTATATATATTAGTTGTAATATATATTACATATAATTAGTTATTATATATAATATATAGTTATATATAACTAGCTATATATAACTAATATATATAACCAATATATAATATATAACTAATTATTATGAGTTATATACTAATAACTAATTATAACTAATATATAATTATATATATGATAACATATATTTGACTAATATAACTAACATATAAAATATATAACTAATATATATAGTTATTTTATATATATAGTTAACTATATATATTATATATAGTTATATATTATAACTAATAAATTATATGTAATATATAATTTATAACTAATGTATATCTATAACTATACATATTAGTTCTATATTATATATATTAGTTCTATATTATATATATTAGTTATAATATATATAGTTATATATATAAGTTATATAGAATACCAATCACCTTACTTTTTAGCCCGATGCCTATTTACCATACCTGCTGTGACTTTTAAACACCAAAGTATGATTAGTTGTTCTACTAGAGCATTGTTCTAATTTGCTAGTTCCTATTCGTGGATAAAACTATTTCCTTAGTAATATCGGCCACTTCTGACATAGCAAGCGTGTGTTTGCCTCCAAGGAAGTCAAATAAGACTATGCAAAGTATACGGTGTTTGTCTGGTAATGAGCTAATTAAAATCTAAATCAGCTTTATATAGCCATAAACCATTTTAATATACAGAGGCACAGCATGGCTGTCTTGAGAGGGAAAGCTGGAATTGCATCGCTTTGCTCCTGAAACGCTAGCCATAGCAAAATGCTGAGCTATAACCCGAGTAACGGCTGCACTCACCTGTAGT